ATTCTAAGAAGAAAGTAAACCTACAGACATCGGTCTTGTTTAACAAAATCTGCCTACAAGAAAATCTGTCACCAAAGTATACCAATATATACATATGTGTATTTATACACACATATTTAGGCATATATTGAAATTCATTGATTTTCATCAGTTAAGACAGGTAATGATGGTGGGTGTAATGCCTAGAACATCAACAGTTTATATGACTGATAACGATTGCTAAGAATTCAAAGACATCTAAATGCTGAAAAAAAAGTTGAAAGCCTTACTCTACAAGCTATCAGATACAATATTTAGTGTTATTCACTCTATTTTAGTTTGTTGAAACAGTGAATATAGGGGCTAGTAGATTTCTGATAAGCTCAGGTATATTTAGAACCTTTATGATCATAATGTTTCCATTGCCAAGTACCTCTGCTAGTAATTACATATATGTTTTGAAATTCACTAGGTTTCAATATTTAAAACAGCTAATTTTAGTAGATGTAATACCTAGAACATCAACAGTTTGTACAACTGGTAATGACTGGTAGGTGTTCAAAAACATTTTAAACTGTAAGGGAGTTGTGACCTTCATTTTCCATGGATGACAATAAGAGTGGGGAACAGTGAAACTATGCACAAGTCTGACAATGAAAATGTGCATCATTGAAGCTATTTTACTCTATTTAAATCTTCTATTAACCAAAATATGTGTGTGTGTGTATGTGTGTATAGTAACATGCATATATTCATGATTTTAGAAAAACACTATGTTCAAGAAGTCTGAATATAAAACAATAAAAAACCTATAACCCAAGTGCTTTCAAAAGGTGGACCCTTCTTCTTCAGGGGTAAACTTTTGAAGAAGAAAGACGCACCTTTCAAAAGTGCTCAGGTTATATATTTTTTTAAAATGTGAAACTTATGTATGGTGAACATTCCTAAAATCAAATTAGTTAAAACTGGCAAGTCAAGTGAAACACCTATGATAAGGACAAAAATAACTTAAAATATGAAGAAAGAAAATACAACAATAATATAGTGTGAAGTAATAAGATAATTTTTGCTATTTGTGTGGCTGTCTTTCCTATGTAATAGGAAGTTGGATTGGGAAAGTGGAATTTAGCTGTTGCACTGTACAGCAGGGAAAATAAGCAAAGTTAAGTAATAGTAGTATTTTTATTTCAGTTGAACTTTGAAAATTTACAGATATTTTCAAACTCAGAAAAATAGATTTTCTCTTATGTTCTGTGACAGAAGGTCAGAGTTTAACTTTGTTCAAAGATTTGTTGCTTCCCTTATTGTCACACAGACATATAGGTGCAGACGCAATAAAGTACTGGTCACTTCCATGTCATAATTGTCAAAAGAGTAGTTGGGAGCTTTTATAGTCATGGATAAGTCAGGCAACAGGGACTATGAATTGAAAACAAAACAGCAGTTTGCCAAGCTGCTAGGCTTAAGAATGATCTTGAAGCAACTGTTGTATACTTTGTGTAATATTAAATAATCATTTTGTATTAATGTTGATTTGAAAAGGTTTTAACTTTCTCTGGTTATATGTTATGGGTTTAGGTGGCATTCATTGACATTGAGGACATTTACCACGCTTGAAAGTCATGAACAGAGGTGAGTGGTTTAGTAATAGTAATTATAATTAATCTTAAAAAAAAAGAATTTCTAGATCCAATCAGGTAATACACGTATTTTTTAAACACACACACACATACAAGTCTGTAAATATACTCATAATAACAAAAGAATTCTAAAAAATGGAAAGCTTTCTGGCAAAATGCAGTATTTTAAGAAGATATAAACTGAAATATAACATATCTCGTGAGAGTTCACTATGAAATTTACATAAATGTTTGAGAACAATTAAAAGAAGTATAAACTAAAAGATAATGTAATTGAAAGAATAGTTATAATCTTAATTATTTTAAATAAAATAATATTTATGTGAAGAAAGTTTGTTGTTTAAGCACAAAGCTGCACAGTAGGATATCTGTGCTCTGCACCTAATGGGTATTGAAACACAATTTTTAGCATTATAAGCCCTCAGACTTACTGCTGAAACACAGGGTGGACCTAACAAAATAGAGATGAAAGTAAAAATAACATTAAATTGCAAGAAAGAATTGTGTTACTCTGTTTAACTTGACAGAAAGTAAATGTTTAAATTTAGACTACAAATAAATATAATGTGTGTATGAGTATACTGTGCCAGCATTCATTTACTCAATGATACACCATGGAAAAACAGTTCCACCTATTTTCATATAAACATTAAAATCTCTTTACTTCAGTATACTTACCCCACTCCCTTTGTCACCTTTCTCTCCAGGCCTGCCCTAACACCATAAAATACAACCAGAACATCACTAAGAAACAAAACTATGTAGAAATAACAGGGTTTTTCCATATAAGCTCTTAGTTTCAAAAAAGGAAAGTGAAAATATATTATTAAAACTGAAAATCTAAATAAAAAGCATGTATATTTGGAACAAAAATACGAAACAAAAAAACACAGAAAATAGTGTATTCTGTGTTTTACTCTCAATTACACTTAATTAATTATTGTTGTTGTTTTAATACAAAGCTACACAATGGGCTATCTGTGCTCTGGCCACTGTGAAAAATTGAACTCCAGATTTTAGCACTGAAAGTCTGAAAACTTACCACTGACCCACCAGTGGACAAATTAATTATTAACATCCAAGAAATTACTATAATTTTGTAATATATTATAAAACCATATCTTGTTATCTAAATTTTTCTTAATGTAAATATGCAATATTTTTTCCCTCTTTCTAACAAAATATATCATAAATAATCTCAGTCAATTAATTATATTCTTTGAATTTTTGTTTATAGTCTGTGACATAACAAAAAAAAAAGAGATGAGTAATAGCTTTCCAGTTTATTTGTTTTGAATTTTGCACAAAGCTACACGAGGGCTATCTGCATTAGCCATCCCTAACTTAGCAGTGTAAGACTAGAGGGGAAGGCAGCTAGTCATCACCACCCACCGCCAACTCTTGGGCTACTCTTTTACCAATGAATAGTGGGATTGACCGTCACATTATAATGCTCCCACAGCTGAAAGGGCAAGCATGTTTGGTGGGACGGGGAATCGAACCCGCAATCCTCAGATTGCGAGTCAAACACCCTAACACCTTGCCATGCCGGGCCAGCTTTCCAGAGTGTGCTTTATTGCATTTCCCCTTTTACTATTTTAAGCTAGCTTAGGTAAAATATTATTAAATACAAAATCCTGTGTTCATTTCTCAACAAGTTTAATGAATCTTTGTGAATATTTCTCAATGAAGTCTATAGACATAATTAGGGGTAATAAAAATTCAAACTAATGAAAATAATGAAGAACATTTTATAAATAATGTCTTATTTGTAATTTTTTCAGAAAGTATATCAGTTTATATGTTAGTTAAAAAATAGATTTTGAGCTCCAATGAATTAACTTTTATAGATTTTTTTATTATGTTGAACACTATCTAATTTACATAGTGGTTCATGGCAAATACATCTCTCATCACTTTACTGATGATCTGTGAAAAAATAAAAGGATAAAATTTAGTACTAACCAAAATAGTATTCTAAAGATTTAAGTTATTAAACTATCTTTGTGTAATTTTTTGCTGTTTTAAAGAAACAGCAATTTAAGCTCTGCATATCTGAGAACTATCCTTACCATTTACTTTATGTTTTTTAAGTGTGTCCAAATGTTCAACTAAAACCTGGCACTATGTGCATTATTGTCATTGATTACTTAGTGTTTCAGGTTTTTTTTTTCCTTATGAAAAGTGTGTTCTCAATCTACTTTTGTGTGAATAAGTTTTAAAAACATAGAATGCTTAGATAATATCAAACTTCTGTTGATGCATTGTCATTTTAGTTGTGAATGTAAGTGTCACAAGTATTACAAACTCTTTCTGTTTCACGTTTTTTAAATGAAGTCATGGATTATTAATGAATGTAAGATAACTAGCTAAATGGTGGCCATGGAAGAGTGAAAATCAATACTATGTATATTTGAAAGTATTTGGTTTAAAAAAGAAATAATTCATAATTAGCTGGACAGCTACATGTACAGTAATTTTATCTTTTTAGTAACTGAAAAGCAAGCTTTTGTTACTACTTTTATTGCTTGTAAAAAAGATATACATTAAATGGCTCTTACTTTATGAAACAATATATATATCTGAGTTCTAATCACTAAAAATACTTACTGGAGGTCCTGGTAATCCAGGGGGTCCTAATAAACCTGGTGGACCCATATCTCCCTGATTTCCTTTATCACCCTTGGACCCTGGTTGGCCCTACATATAAAAAAAAGAATGTTAAATAGTGTACTATTTCTAAATTTCTCAGTTACAATTAAGACTGAATATATTTTATGAAGAACACAAGTGTTTTTCTAAGCTTCTGAAGACACTTCAGCTTCTCTTCGGTAACCGAAAAGAAATCATAAACCATGATGTTTCACTTCTTTAGCAAAGCTTCATTGAAGAAATGAAACATCTTGGTTTATGAGGTTTTTCAGCTCCCTGACAGTAGCTGAACTGTTCTCAAAAATTATCAAAACTGTTCATGACTAAGAATACATCTCATTTAAATTTTTTATATTTTTATTACAGTAGCTTAACAAAGATATGTTAAACATTTTTTAATTACATTTTTTATTTTTGGTTTCTACCTAAATCTCTTGCAAGCTATTTTATGATTTGAATAATGAATTATACTCATTACAAATTGAAAAAAAAATAATTATTAACAAAAACTAATAAACGTTTAACACTAAAATGATTCAAGTCATTTGTTTAGTATTCAAGTGCATCAAATTGAAAAACATTAACTTTATTACAAGACATAAATATAGAAATACCCACACATGAGTTCCTTACAGAAAAAACATAACAGATCCTTTTGTATGTTGTAAAGATGGTCTTTCTTTTTAATTAAATTCTGTTACTTTCAACTTTTAACAAAGCAACTAGAAATAATTTGTTTTTAATTTAACATATGAAAACAAAATAGTAGAACAAACATTTTTATACACCTTTTCATTAACTTGTGACATTACATTATCTTACTGTAAATAACTAGTATAACAACAAACTCATGTGTGCTTTAATACACAAATACTGATAATCCAAATAAGCATCATGGTTTGTTTTGAATTTTGCACAAAGCTACACGAGGGCTATCTGCATTAGCCATCTCTAACTTAGCAGTGTAAGACTAGAGGGAAGGCAGCTAGTCATCACCACCCACCACCAACTCTTGGGCTACTCTTTTACCAATGAATAGTGGGAGTGACCTTCACATTATATTGCCCCCATGGCTGAAAGGGCAAGCATGTTTGGTGGGATGGGGAATCGAACCCACAACTCTCAGATTGTGAGTCGCTCTAACCACCTGGCCATACCAGGCCAAGCATCATGGTGATTATTTGAAATGTGTAAAACTGGGTATGATCATTGGAGAATGTTAAAACGTGGCCTAGACTTATACAACACATTTTGACTCCTTCAAAACTCTCCTTAGAGGTTAGAAAGAATCTGTTTGAAAGTGTTAAAATTGCAATCATAAAACACATTTTTTCAATAGCTGACCAATAAAAAATAGGCGCTTAAATGCAGAAATATCTCTGTTCTATGAGGCAGTTGCAAAGAAGTCCTCTATATACAAGGTAATGTTGAAACAGTAAATATGTGCTTGATGAGAAAGTTTACAAAAATTAATACCACAGGTTAAATTAAGCACATTATTTCAACCAAAAATATTTAGGATGTTCCAGATTAGAATTCAGAACTTTTGTGGATGTGAAATATTCATTGCAGAGAGTAAGGTATGCACCATTTGCTTATTGCAGATATTGTATATACTTTCAAACTAAATGTATTTTTCATCTTGGTACACAATAAAAATTATAGTTAAGATACTATATGTTGCTTAAAATAAATGTGTTTAATCATTATGAGTGATCAAAATAAAGCTACCAAAATCTTCCACTATAAGCTAAAGCTAAACAACACTATTAATTTACAAATGTAATGCCTTTTAGAACTCACCATACTATATATTTTATGTATTATAAAAGATAATTCCTAACTAATTCAATTTCATATTTAATTTATTTCTAATCTTTACTTTTTCTTCTTAATTACTTTGTTTAGTATATATATATATAGTTCTTACCCAAAATTATGCCATACTTACTATATTCCATGATGTGGTGAAGTACTAGTGTTATCAAATGTAATCATATCAGTGTGTGTGTGTGTGTTTATATTCTTAGATAGATAAAATTTTATGCTAAAAGCAATTGAAAAGTACTAAAATGTGATATTTAAATATTTGACTAGTGTGTACAAAGAAATGAATTTACTACTTTACTATAATTAACTCATCTATATATTTACTGATAGGCCATGAGGTCCCCGGACTCCTGGAACACCAATTTTTCCATTAGTACCTGGTAAACCTGGAGACCCAACCTTTCCCTAGAAAATAAATGGTTTAAACTATTAGAAAATTGAACTACATCTATGTGATTTATTTCAATCGGTATTTATTTCTACTTTACTTTTTCTTTGTAAATATTTATTTGAAGGAAAAATATAAAAAACATCTTAGGTTATTAATTAGTTGAGACTTTACAAATAGAAGAAACTGGCAATGATATGTACAAATCAAGATATATTTGTCAATGTTAAAAAAAAAGTTGTATATGCTTATATATTCAATTACTTTAAAACTTTTGAAATTTACACAGAAGAACTTTGAAATCTCCAAAGATATACGTTAAAAAATCTTTTTGTCCTCTTACTGGAAGGCCAGGAAATCCAATATCTCCTTTCTCTCCTTTTTCTCCTGGTGATCCTATGTCCCCTTTTGGTCCATCATGACCACGTTTCCCACGGCCAGCAAATTTTCCATGTCGTCCTCGCTTGCCCTGATTATTCAATAAAAAATAAAATCTTAGGCTAAAGTATAAAATTGGTAATTAATTTTATAAACTAATTAAGAAATTAAAATATTGATTCATTTTATTATGTAACCAATGTGCATAACGATTTTTTTATATTTTCATACTTTTCCCAAACTTTTGTCAACAGAAATGCTTAATGATGTTAATATTTTTTACTCTAAAGAAACAGCATCTTTTATGTGTTTAATTCTACCCTTAAGTGCTATTAGATATGAAATTTGATGCTAAATAGCTTTCCTCATATTTATGTTCTGAAATTACTGAATATGGTATAATCACACTAATTTTACATGTTAAGGATTTAACCATAAAGCTTTTTAGTGAAAAATGTTTATTACTTTATAATTTTGTTATTATATAGCATACAAATTTACTCTGAATAGTTGCTAAATGTAAAAAAAAATTGAATAAGGTACTTACTTGCCCCGTAGGACGTTAGTCAGGGTTAGTGGTTAATGGCCTATCTCAGTTGGCATGCTGGTTAAGTTCAAGTAAACATCAGTGAAATATTTTGTTTCTGAGGTCAAATATGTAGTTAAGGGATTGAAATTTAAAAAAAACAACAACGTTGTTCGTTTCTGTTAGCAACACAGAAATACATAAATAAAGAAAGCATTTAATAAATAATGTTACTTTGAAATATTATACGGTAATTATTTAAGGGGTTATCATTTAAGACCATTTTAGCAACCTTTTGATGGTTAGGTACAAGATACATGGTTGTCAGTATTAAATATAGCAAACTATCTATAGAAATCCACAATAAAAAGTTTGTAGAGAATGTTTGTTTGGTTTGAAGTTGGAAATATTTAATACTAAAAATATGTAAATTAATATAGAAATTCCTTATTATTCTTTTAATGATGGAAAATATACATTACATAATATTGGATTAAATCTAATTATTTATGAAAATTCCATGAACTCTTGTTCCACATTCGTCTAAAATTACGAAAAAGAAATGTTTAAATAACTTTGAAGTACTTATACTGAAAACAAAATGTTCAATAATTTATCTTCTATTTTTTTATATGGACATTTTAAAATGTTTAAGGTCAGTCAGGTATTCTAAATACTGATGAAGTATTAACTGATTGATTTCTTATCATTTGTTTTACACTGATAATTTTTAAAGCATTCTAATTTTATAAAAAAATATTCCAGTGATATTTGGAATGATATACAGTGTACACTAACACTACCCTTAAATATCTTGTTCTGATCTGATGTTAAGTACTGTATGAAAAGAAATTGAGGGATAGACGGTTTTTTACAGATTGAGATCCCCAATGAATTATCAGAATTTTCAACTCTCACATGTTCACGAATTAATAAGATCTTTGTTCAATAAATGTGTAAAATCTCTAGAATTTAGTTGTTTTTAAAGAGATTAACATTACATTAAAATATATCTGAATGAATCTAGGCATTTAAGAAATTACATCTTGTTTTCAGATTTAAATTTTCTTCTGTTATTTTTTCTGTGGTGAGAAAAAACAGATCATTAAATTTAAATTACAAACAAATTTAAAATCATATGAATCATGTTATTTACAGCTCTTTCCATAAAATAATAAATTTTGTTTGTTTGTTGTTAAGTCTACCTGTGCTCTGTCCACTATGGGTATTGAAAACCAATTTTTAGCATTATAAACCCTCAGATGTACTGCTTGGCTACTGGGGGCAAAAGGCTAAGTTCAGATACTTAAGTTATCATCCAAAATGTTATATAAAAATATTTATATATGCATTTCACTAGATACCAATATCACTCAAAAATTCAAACACAGTTTTCAAGCAGATTAAACAGAAAGAAATGATCATAAAAAGTTTGGCTTACCACACAAACCTAATTCACAGTTGATCTATATTTCAACAATTATGTAATTTTTGCTGAAATACCCATCATCTGGCTCTATTCTAAGTTTATTATATTATCATATCTTGCACCTATATACACCTGTATTATATATTGAAGGTGTTGGAATTATATCTCATTGGTTGAAAATATGATAATCCTAAGATTCTTGTGATTAATATCATAATTCTATTCACTAAACACACACTCACATACAAAAATAGAGTTTGAATTATGTAGACATTATATGTATATTTATTATGATATAAACAGTTCAAAACACCATGATAATAGACTGCACTAGAACATATAAATGTCACATTAAAATGGTATTATCATGACAAAATAAAACAATACTCAATAAATTAAACATGTTGTAGATTGAAATAAAGTCACAAACTAAATTAATCGTTTCTGTCAAATGATCTTATTGTGGAGAGTTGAGTGTAAGGATTGTTTTTCCAATTTTTATACCACTCCAATCACCACAAAATCCTTTTTCATACTAGATCATTTTTAGTGACTATACTCTATATCTAAAAATACAGAAAGTTATTCTTACCTGAGTGATATACTGTTCTCAAAATCTTGTAAAAGCAACAGCTTAAAATCACCATGTTTATATAAAGTAGAGGTGGTGGGAACATGGAAGTTGGTTTTCATTTTTTATGCTATGGTTCTACAAAATGTTTTGGATACTTTCATGTTCAATAATTAGGTCAAAATGATACTGGAGGCAGTTAAAATTAAACCATTTTAAGGGGTATGTAGGAAAACAGAGAAATTAGCACAAAAAACAGAAGAGAAGCATAAGAAATCATTAGTGTATGTTATTGTTGAAGGCTGACAAACACATAAAATACATGTAGGTAAATAGCAATTGTGAAAGTAGCAAGTCACATTGAAAAACAAACTCAAAACAGAACATGACTTTTCAACCATCCATTTTGCTGTTTAATAAAAAGTCATATACAATACAAGAACTATTATGTACTTAATATGTGTACATTAAACCTAGAAATGTAAACAATCATAAACTTCAGACTTATATTAAAATAGGTAATTACTGTGACACTCTGGGTATAAAAATAGTTGATTTACCAATGACAGTAATATGTCTATTTATATGAAAAAAATATATAATAAACAAATTTTGCAGACAAACCTGGCTTATCATTATGTTACTAGTATTTCTTAAACCTAAAAATGGCTAACACTACTTATACAGTTATATAACTGCCACTAATAGTAAATATGATGAAAATCATCTTAATTAAAAATGCTACAAATTCCTCTTCATATTTATTTGAAAAATAGCATATGAAAAGCTTATAATATAATTGTTATTAATTACATGTTTCATAGTAGATTAGAATCCATTTTAATCAAATAATGGTATATGAAAAAAATTCTTACCCTCTTGCCTCTTCTGCCTCTTTCTCCTTTGTCTCCTTTCTCTCCATGATCACCTTGAGGTCCTGGAATTCCAGAGTCTCCCTAAAAGGCAGTCAAAGAGAATAACTGTATAAAAAAAGACATATTAGAGATGAAAAAGACAAACGAAATGTGAAATGTGTTAATTTTCCATTAAAAATGGATAATTCACTTTATCACAGCATTTAATTCAAAACAATCTAATTCCATAATTGTTTAGTTGAAACAATATTTTGTTAAACATTATAACAGTCCAAGTGGCAAGTTTGCAAATTTCTTGAAGCACTGGCATCTTAGCTGATAGACCAAAGAATCAGTTTAACAATATTCTAGGTTCTATTTTCCATTCTAATGTTGTTTCTTTCTTTAATGGGATAAAGCTAGCATAATCATGAAAGATTACTTATTGATGAAAACAAATGAAGCAAATTCCTAGGTTTATTTGCTACCTATATTTTCTTTCGACAATAAATATGTATAACTTAACATATATTTTATGGAATAACAGCTATATTGACCTGCAGTGCAACTATTTTCAGTTGTTTTGTTTTGCCTATAAATTAAAATTTAATTCTGTATCATATTAAATGTTGTTAAATGAGCTAATACGCTATGAATAACACATGTACCTACATCACAAAACTTTGTTTTTCAAAATACAATCCATATGTTTTAATAAAAACTCCATAAGTATGTGAAAACGATTACTAACTTTCCTTCCCTGTGGTCCAGCAGGTCCAGGTGGTCCAGGAGGGCCGGGTGGACCTTCTATAAACCCAGTTGGGAGCTTGTTGCCATCCAACATTGTAGTTAACCCTTGGTCACCTTTGTCACCTTTTTCTCCCTAATGTATCCCAAAGAGATAGTTCTTGTTAATTTGGGATTATATCAACTAATACACAAAATGCACATATTACTTCTCATTTTCCAATAAATGAGATAAACTCTAGATTACTCTTATCAGCATAAAATGTCATCTTCCATGATAAGTTTGTAGCTGTGTATTAGTTTGAGTGGTTAAAATGTGCCTTACTAGCAAGCACTAAGGGGCTAGTCCTTTAGTTTCAACTGGTAGAGCATTGCTTGATGTGCAAGAAGTCTCAGGCTGAAATCCCAGGCAAGGAAATATATATTGTGAAAAAATTGAAATACCACAGCTGTAACGCTTTCTGTAACAATTTAAAAACAGTTATATATAAATGATTACATTTCAACTGCTAAAGACTTCTAAATAGATTCACTTGACTTGGAAGCTAGTTACCAATGGCTCTATCAATGTTCTGGAGCAACTAATATCTCTATATCAAGATTCAACTGATTAGGGAACTTATTACTGTTTTTTAAAATTTTCAGTACTGACTGAAGGATAGAAACCATTATTTAATGAAGACAACAAACAACTTCGGAAAAATGTTTAATTACTTGTACCCGATGTTTCGGCTTATGCCTATATCAAGGGTCTATGAATGTCACAGGTTACCAAACTGATTTTAAATGACAGTAACCTAAAACATAATACAGCTACAACAATATAATGGAAAAGTGTACGTGACATGAGTATAGTTAAACAGTTTTGAGTTGTTGATCATAAAAATTGTGAAAATTATAATGATAAAATGTTAAAGGGGCCAGGCATTGTACCTATAAATGGAAGGGTGTCTGGATTGAATAAAAAGTGATTCCTTTATTTTCTGTCGAGGAAATTGTCACATTTTTCTGAAGTTGTTTGTCGTCTTCATTAGATAATGATTACCAGTGCCTGTGTCAATGTTCTGTAGGAACGAAGATTTTCATATCATGATTCAACTGACTGGTGAGATGGTTATCACTGACTGTATCAATGTTCTGGAGGAACTAACATTTTTAGTATCCTCCTTTCTTAAATTTTTAATTTTGTATTTAACAATTTTTAAGCAATTGCTTAATATAATAGATTAGGAAAAATAAACTTAATATGTATATGTATTAAAGGTCTGATGTAAAATGACTAAACCTTTAATTTAAGTCACAAGAATGCTAACAAATGTCAATTTAAACTTACTCATTTAAATGTATTTTGTTTTAAGTTCCTACTTTAAACCTCCTATGTCAAAAAACAACAAAGAAACTATGAAATCTTCAACAAAAATACTAATATCAGTATTTGAAACATTACATTTACTTTTACAAAGAATACATTTGTCCACTAAAGAAAATGCTTGAATACTCATAGCACTAGGTATAATTTAAAGGAATTATGATATCATGAAATGTCTTTATCTTGAAAGCATTAAACAAGAAATGTATTCAACTTATACTGTAGCTCAAAGAATGGATAATGTGAAATTAACAAGGTTTAACAGGTTTTCCAGAAGTTTTCAAGAAGTATAGGTCAATACAGCAATCTAAGTTGATTTTACTTGTTCCATAATTGATCTTGGAAAAGAATCCACATTTTTTTATTATTTGTGAAATTGTACAAATTATGATATATAGGTGAATTTAAACATGTAACAATAACTTCAACAAATAATCAGTCCATTAAAAAATATATCAAAAACCAACTTCCTATTTAATGTGGCTCTGACAATTATCACCATCATAATTTATCCACATAAATGTTTCATGAACAACAATCAAATTAAAGTGTTTCAAATTTGTCACCTTGTGCTTTGTAGATCGATAGGCATTCTCGCTGGTGAACATATATATTCTTGGCATTAGAAAACAATTTGGAAAATAATCAACATTAAAAAGCAGCTACAAACAGAAAATCAGGAATATTATTAATCTTTAAATAAAAATGTTAAATAACAGAAATTTGAACTGAAAGAAAATTCAATCAAGCTACTACCAATCCTGATAAGGTTGACAGTGAAGCAGTAGAATAAATTATGACTGTTGCAGCTGTGTCAGCTTCAGTATGTAACTCAGCTGCTGGTTAGTAAACATGAATGAAGGATATAAAAACTGATAAAGGTATGAGAACCAATAACTAATAAGTTTATATTTATTTAGGAATTAACATCTCTCCTGCAGGTTAAAAATGTACAGAAAATGTTAGTTAAAGGGTGATTGATTAGCAGTTATAAGTAGCCATGGCTGAAAAATCCCACCAAACTCAAGGAACAATGTGAAGTTGAGAAACTCAAGTTTTTTCAGATCCATAAACTTGGAAACAATGTTAGTCTTAAGATTTAGAGTGACATGACACACATCAGAGAAGTGTTTGTCAATTAACTCTTGCTGCTCACAGGAATTCCTGGTAGGCCTGGTGATCCTGGTACCCCAGTCATGCCAAGTAGTCCGGGAGCACCCATGAACCCTCGTTCCCCTTTCTTTCCCTATAGTCCATGGTTTAATCAGTGGATATTTTAAAACAAAAATATATTCAATGCAAATCTGCTGACTATATAAGTGAAATACTTTGAGATTGATAACTAGAGTGAGCTCTTAAGGTTTGCTGAATTAAGCTTAAAGCACTGAAAGAAAATAGATTAAAGAAATAACTGTAATTATGCTACATCTAACCTACAATTATTTTTAAGCTACATGTTGTGTGTGGCATATAACATAAAATTAAAGATGAACAAGAGACCCTTTGACCCACTAAATTAAACACTAAAAAACTCAAAGCCAGTTATTATCATTGAAATATTTATCAAACTTTCCCTTAAGCTCCCTTAAAGTAATTGCATCTACCACAACTGAAGGCAGCCCATTACAAAGGCCAATCACACTATTAGAAAAATAAAGCTGTCTTAGCTAAATATGACACCTACTCTGCCAAAATTTATATTTTGTCCCCTAATCTTACCATTTTAATCATTAAATACGAAAAAATATTATGCATTAACACTATCAGTTCTCTTAAAAACCTTAAATACTTTAATCAGATCCCCTCTAATTCTTTGATTTTCAAGATAAAACATATTCCAAGATCTTAACCTATCTTTGTATAACAACTTTACATCCAAGATATCATCCTAGTAGCCCTCCTTTGAGCTCTTCCCAATGATTCAACATCATTTTTAAGGTAAGAAACCCAAAACTGACACAGTACTCCAAATTTGGCTTAACCAGTGAGCTATACAATGACATTATGACCTCTATGAACTAGTATTTAATATTTTTGTACATACAACTTAAAATCCTATTTGCATTCTACTAACAACAACACATTGCTTGAATAGCTTAAGAAACTAATGAATCAGAACAACAAGATCTTTTTTTTTTTCCCATAACACTGTTAAGGCTAATCCCATCAGTGTTATATGTATACTCAAATTATGATAACCCACATGCATTGCCTTGCATTTATTATAATTAAAATCATCTGGCAGTTATCTGCCCAATTCACCAAATAATCCAAATCCTTTTGTAAAGCAGTAGCAACCTCCTTACAAGCAGCAACATCCAAAACTTTATTGTCATCAGCAAATTTAAATTATCTATTGACCATTCCCTCTTATATGCCATTGATGTAAATCAAAAAGGGCAAAGGTCCTCACACAGATCCCTGAGGTACTCCACTCATGAAATTAATCCAGTTTGACTGAACATTTTTAACAAGCCTTTTATGTGGCACCTTGTAAAATGCTTTCTGAAAATCGAGATACACCAAATCCACACCTGTACCCTCATCTACATAAACAATAATCTCTTCAAAGAATGTCAATGAATTAGTAAGGCAAGATTTTCCCCTAGCAAAACCATTCTAACTATCTAAAAAAAAATGTAAACTTTGTTAAATGACTTTGTAAAACATATTTTATCTGACTTTCATAAACTTTTCCTACCACTGATGTAAGACTAATAGGTCTGTAAATACTGGGACAATTTTTATCACCTCCCTTGAAAAGAGGTGTAACATTAACCAGCTTCCAATTTTTTTGCACGTGCCCATTATTCAAGAACCTAGAAAAAACAGCAGCAAGTGGCTCACATATTCATTCCTTAACCTCTTTAAAAACCCTTGAATAAATGTTATCTAGCCCACAAGCTTTATTATTTTTTAAAGTTCCCAACTTTTTCTTAACAAGCTCAAAATTAATGTGATATCTTGTTCAATATTATTTCCATCTACCAACTGGTCAGGATGAAGAATATTACTTAAATATTCATCAGGAAAACAGAAGAAAAAATAGAATTTAACAAACCAGCCATCCCATAATCCTCAAATATTAGCCTTCCTGTATCATCCCTCAAAGGCCCTACTCTCATCCTAACATTTTGCTTAGTCTGCATGTATTTGAAAAAAATCCTCATCATGAATTTCTGTGCTCCCTGGTGGCTATTTAGTAAGTCAGTGGGCTTTTAATGCTAAAAATCAGGTTTTAATACCAGTTGCAGCCAAAACAGAGATAGCCCAGTGTGTAGCTTTGTGCTTCACAACAAACAAAACTTAGTTTTTAAATTTTCAACCAATCTTTTCCCTTTCAGATATTTTTATATTTTTAATTTCCCATTTCACCAACACTCTTGATTTTCTACAATACTCTAAATTTCCCATCATTGCTGTTAGCTTTTATATCACAACTTGGTCAGGCTGTAACTCAGATTTTCTAAATAAAGCCACTCCTTCCCCCTTTTTAATACTCTATCCCTATTGAACAACCTTATACTCTGTATTTCAAAGAAATTCCTGTCATGAGAATTGTCTATATTTAGCCAGGTTTCAGTTATTCCCATTATACTAAAATTTTTTGTTATAAGCAGTGTACCAAAGTCATTTATTTTATTTTGTATACTTCTAACTATACAATAATAACAGTTTAGCCTACCATTAAAACTACCTTTGTACCTTCTTCACGCACTATACACCTCTCTACATCTTAATTTTTCTTCATAATTCTGGACCTCTACATTGTTCAATTCTTGCCCTTAAGTTAAGTTAATAGCCCTTGCAAACAAGCCAGCCCTTACCCTATTTAAATATAAACCACCCCAAAAGCTTTCTTTTCCCATTGAACTGATCCTACAAATCCAACCACCTAGCATTCAGTTTTAGTGACCTACTTATAATTTCATCCACACAATTAAATTTGGGTAATATTCCTGACAGAATTAAGATATTATACTCCTTTTCTTTGAATTCCTTGTACCTAATAATAAGCTCCTCTGACTGACCATTTCCTATATCATTAGCCCCTATGTGCACTACAAAGACTGCATCATTGCTAGCATCTTTTTTACAATATCACTTGCTCTGTTGGTTATGTCCTCCACCCCATCCCTGGACAGCATAATCTAATTATTTACCTGATAGTTTGTTCCTTTCAGTTAGCTAAGCTTCCAAATTACTTTCTATCCTGATTATATTACATTAATTTCAGATATAAATTTTGAATATTGAATAACTTCGCTTTTTGATATAAAAAAGTAAAAAAATAAAGATAAATGTAAACTTATTTCACCTATTATTAAGCTGATTGAAATACATCTATAAATTATTTCTATGAGTATGCCAACATTGATATTTTGATATAGAACATCGTAAGAATCATTTTTAACTACACTGAGTCTTGTGGTAGAAACTGTAAGTACACTGAGCAAGACATTTCTAATGATTTTATTTGTATGTCATCAATATTCCAGTCTACCTTCCAATACAGGAAAAAAATTATCATGCGACATCTTTTGTTATATGAAGAAGTTAATAAACTGGAATTTGGTTGGCTCATCTTTAGGTTGGTTTAGTCCAAAATATGGGAAGAGAGCATCCTAATCTCTAATAATTCTACATCAAAGACCAGATAAAAAATTCAGAAATGAGTTCTGGTGGGATCAAAAATGAAATTTTATACAACCTGAGGAGCATATTTAATGATTAAGGAAATTTTCTTATGTTTATTGATAGCTAAACAGTAAGAAGTTATGAATATGCATGACAAAGATATAAAACTTAAGAGATGGGTAGTTTCATGGGAAACATTTTATTATTTTGTGTGAATATTACAGGTACAATATACATATTGTTGTTTTTCCCTAATTAAAACAACAACAACCATATTTATAACAGTTTTACCTTAGGGCCTTGAAGTCCATCTTTACCCATTGGCCCCTAAAAATGTTGAGAAAAATACCATATTACACACACTATCAGAGAATTTTCAGTCATTAGGTTTACTTTTAAAGACAAAACATATTTTGAAAACAGATATTAGAATCTAATTTAGAATTTATTAAAAAAAACTGCTTTCCAAGTGTAAACATGTTTTAAGAAACACTGAGAAATGTTTTAAAAAGTAATTTTAACACAATATAAATGTATGAGATTCTACATTTCTACTGTTTCTCAGTGTTTGGTAAACAGCATAAAATATTATTTTGAATAACAATTAAAATTAGCAGAGGCATTGCTAGGTACTTAAAAGATTTGGGGCTTGGGCCCATAGGCATGGGAATTTTTGGCATCTCACTATGATATTGATCATTGTTTTCTGTTCTGATTTTTCAAGACACCAACTGGGAATTCAAGGTACTGCTGAATAGAATGTTCCAGTGCCTAACAACGGCTCTGAAAAGTAGTCACTATTTGTTAGCATAAACTTCATGTCAAAGAACATACTTAGCATTAATTTAAAGGATTATATCTTAATGATTAAAAACTTTAAAGTTATTTTTATATTTTATAATACAAGTATTGAATACGTCTACATGTTTCTGAAAACAGTTTAACTTCCTACAAACATTTAAGCAGTTATGAATGGCAATAATAAATTAATATGAAAATTGAGTTATCTTTAAGGAAACATAACATTTTGAAATCACTTTTAAATAAGAGCTTTAAAGAATGGAGATCACTCCAGGTATGTTTCTAATTAGCATATAACTGAGTTAACAACAGATGGGTTGAAAGTGTTGAATATCATTTAAACATCATTCTCACTTACATACTGATATATTATTTTTTGTCATAAGCCTTTTTACACGTGTAATGTTCTAATTATAGCTTTAGTACAAATAAGTTTTAATTATAGCTTTAGTATAAATAAGTTTTAATTATAGCTTCAGTAGAAATAAGTTTTAATTATAGCTTTAGTATAAATAAGTTTTAATTATAGCTTTAGTATAAATAAGTTTTAACATTTACATCTATACACAATACCAAATTTTAGGTGCTTAAGAGCCAGCCCAAGCCCCGGGTTAGTAATATCATCAGGCCCCCTTTCATTCTATATATTAACTTTTGCTGATTTTTTCATAAACGATATTTAGGTGACAAATTTCTTCATGAATCCATGAAAAAGCAGTAGCCATTTTAGCTTATTAAGTAGTATGTATTTCTAGTGAGCTTTGGAATATCCCACTGCCAGGACCCTCAATAGACCCCAGGGCAGCTGCCCCCCCTCATCACCCATGATACCAATTTCGAGGTTTTCTTTGCATGATGGACCAATTTAGTGAAAACAAGCATACAAACTAGCTAGGTGTAAACTGTCCCAAAACATCTAATATAATAGTTTATTTACAGAAACACATTACTGTACATACTAATAATAATCTGTAGAGATGAATGTATGGATTCACTCTGTGAAAGTTGTGTAAGGTAAGAAAGCATTAACTGAATAGAGTTCAAATACTATTAGAAAACATTCTATTTTTTTTTCTGTATCACAAGTGTAGTATAATAAAAACTTACAACTGGTCCAGGTGGGCCAGGTGGTCCTAATTCACCCATTGGTCCCTAAAAATACAGACACAGTATTATAGGTTTGCTTATTTTAAGGTGACTGACTATGAACAGGAAAAGTTTAGAGACAAAAGACTTTAATGTTTATGGTACTTTTGCTACCATTCAAATAGAAAAAATTTAAAGGTTTGTTAAAAATTTCATGTTATATGTATTAGAGTGATATTGAAAAACATTATGAGTATGAATGATGTTTTAATTCTCGATTGACATATGAATTAGAGAAAGTTTGCATACTATAAGGACCAGTATTTGACCAAAAAATAAAATTTAATCTTATGTATAAATGAAGTGAAAACTTCATACTTAAAGGAAATAAAAGTTTAAAAACAGCTTATCAAGAGAATACAAAAGTTTATGGTAATTAGAAAGGCATATTTAAGCTTTTATTACTAATAACTGTATTTCAACATCTTATTTTGTACATATATTTATTTTTATCATAGTAAATAATAAATTATAATCTCTATGTCTACAAACTATTTTAAATTTTAAAGTAATGTTTATTGTTCTTTTATGTTTGCAGAGAGAATGTAAAATCACCAGTTTGAAAAACTGGAATTATTTATGTTAATAATTGTGAATTTGGCAAGAAACAAATTTTGAATTTGCAATAGTAAATAGTATTACTTTATTGGGCTAACCTTATCAGTTCTGTTTTAATGGATTACACTAAGCTTACTTACTTATAATTAGGTAATTTCATATGATTTTAGGAAAATACTTATTACAAAACGTTAATCAAAACAAATACAATATCCTTGCACAACTAGGTCGATATTTTAGATATGTTAAATGGTTGTTAGAACATCGTTTTGTTAATTCTTAGGGGAATCTAAGGAAAGTATTAAATTTCAAGAATTAATTCAATGCAGCATTATAATTCTTTTTAAGGTTTCATTGAAATAACTTAAAAATAAGAAAAGCATATTTTAAATAATTTTAACTCAAAACATCAAAAAATATAGCTTTTTATAAACTGCCATGTTTTTATATTCCTATTTTATGTATATTGTAAGGCATATAATATAGTTTCTTATGTAATGCACTTTAATGGCATGTAGAAGTTCAAGTACACGAAATATACTTTGTAATTCACTTGATTCCAATATGTTTCAAATAATATCAATTCTAGTTGAAAATAACTGCTATCACATCATAGACTGAGCAAAGTGAGTTGGATAACAGGCACCAAAAATAATTATATAATGCCAAGATTACTTACCTGCTCACCAGGCATTCCAGTTTGACCATCAAAACCAGGTAGGCCAGTAGGACCTGGGGGTCCTGGAGGTCCAGGTGGTCCAGTCTCGCCAGGTTCACCCTAAATTAAGAAGAAATATTCAACTCTTCAGCCAAAAGTAAGAAACTTGTGTATAAATAGTATAAATAAACACAGACTTGTGATATTTAAGAACACAATGACTGGCTGGTTGTTATTAAGCACAAAGCTACACAATTGGTTATCTGTGCTATGCCCACCACAGGTATGGAAACTTTTGTAGATTTACCACTGAGCCACTGGGGGACAGAAACATCATGGAAAAAGTTGTTTTCAAAGACAAAAATAATGAAATGTAGCAGCATTACAATACCAAGTGCAGAGGTTTCTTTTAAGGTTTTAACAGTTTAAAATTAAAACAAAAATGTTGGTTTAATCGACTGCATAAGATTAGAAAGCAAACATGATAATTAGAATAGAATTATGTGTATAAAACATGCTCATAATACACATTTTTCTTTGTTTCAAATATAACCATACCAAATAAAAATTATAACCTCTTTAAGAGTTTGTCAGGATACCAAACCTGAAATTATAACCTCTTTAAGAGTTTGTCAGGATACCAAACCTGAAATTCTTGTTCGTATTCATTAATTTTACTGCGGTAACAAAAATGGCTGTGGTCAGCTAGCTTCACGTGCATCTTGTTATCATTTTGGCATCAAAAGATAGTCGCCAATCACCTTCTTATGCAGTAGCATTATCCTGGTAACAAAGGGTAGTGGTCCACTAGCTAGTTTTTACTTTGGCAATAAAAGATATCATGGCCAACTATATAATTTTAGTGACGTTGTATAAATTAGTTTTTACTTTAGCAACAAATAAGTGTGGCCCATTATCAACCTTCATTTCTGCATTTTTGTGAGCATTAAAGTTCATCCTTGAGCCTGAAATTCCAATACTTTGGTAATCAGTCTATGCACTCAACCAAGATGGTACTAATGGTCACAGTCAGTCACTTATACTTATCACCAACACCATCAGATAGTATTATAATGTTACTTATCTCAGAGTATACTGTATTATCACACACACAACAGTCCCACAATGAGCATTTATTACAGTATCAAGTCCAACATTAGTTTCACACATTTATGGCAGTATACTACCCCATAAATAACCTGTGGGTGTATCTATATTTACTTGAAACAAAAAATAACTAAATTTACATTAGAGTGCTTATCTTCATTGAGATAACACAATAAAAATTATGTAGTTTGATTATCAAGACCTCAAAAATTGAAAGTTATTTCAAACTGACATGTTCCCAGCCATAAATTTCCCATGGTGGCATTGTTCTTTTAAACTGCTTGGAATTTATGATGAATCAAATTTATAGGTACTAAACACGCAGAATTGACACCAACCATTCATGTAATGTATTAATTCTCACAAATGCTTTGGTGACTATTCACTATCATTACTCAAGCTTATCCAATCTATTTCCTTTAAAATACTCAATATAGACAAAAAAGAAAAACATACACTCTATGTAAGAAAAGTTTTTATGTCCCCTTTCTGTGAAGCAGCCACTGAATAACAGTGGAATAATCAATGCATACACATAAGCTCATAATGCTATCTTGACTTAGTGCTATTCAATAATATATAATTATTTGTAGAAATGTATTAGATACACATAACACATTTACATATTACATTTATTCTTCTTCTTAACTTCTATTTTTTATTATATTTAACTTCTTAGATTATATTTATGAATCCATTCTGATAACAGTATTTATAGACACATGTAGTAAACCACTTCATTTATATAGTTAATGTTATTTCTTATTTTTTTCACTTGATAAATTGTTTTTATCCTGTCATTTAAACACAGCAATGAAACATTGCTTAAAATAAGTTTTAATTTAGACATGAGAGATCTAACTTTGTTAATGTATATGCTATACTGTCTCTTCAAAGTTTTTAGAATGTAGGGAATGCATGGTGTGCACATTAAAAATGTTAAATAGACTAAATTAACTCACCAACAGTTGTTCACACAAACTGATAGATTAATAATGGTTGGAGATGGCTTGAATGTGTAATGAAGAAAAACTTTAATATAAGTTTAACATAACAGCAAATGTACAATGTTTCGACAAGGTTTTGTCATCATCAGGTACCAGATGATGATGATGAAACATTGTACATTTGCTGTTATGTTAAATTTATATTAAAGTTTTTCTTCATTACCCATTCAAGCTGTTTTCAACCATTATTAGTCTCAAAGTGGGTTCCTTGTCATCGAATTTAACTGATAGATTATTGTAGTACATTTGCATTAATCAATGCTTTTATTATACACTTGTGCACTTGTAATGAAGTTATCTTTGATTAACCATTGAAATAACCACTGAATAAACGAAAAAAAAATAAAAGGTCTTAATACAACCATAAATCATCCAAATGATAAAGCAGTTTAAAATGCTGAGAGCAAAGAAAATACTAGTTACAGGTTGCAATATCTACATACATAAAACACATACAGAAAGTGGTATGATACATTTGATAAAAGAAGAAATGTCCAAGCCTAAGTACTATCCATCATTCATATACTATTCCAGACAAAATTTGCCTGAAAATAAAGGTATAACTCAGTAAACATTTTTGTAAAATATTTATTAATTTCACTAATATAAAAACTAGTTGCAAATTCACAAAAAAAATTATAAGCCATAAAGCTCAATAATTATTTAAAAAACTTGAAAGACTTTACTTAAATACATATTTTAATAATGAAATACACAGTTCATTACTGACCTTTATTAGAAGGACATCTTGGTCTAACCCCACGCCAACATTACCTCCAATTCCCAATCCTTTGAGTTTCTGATAGAAAAAACATAATGTATATATATATATTTGATATAAACTATACTATTGTAGAAGTAACACTACATAGACACATAAACATCAGATTGTTATAAACGAGTGATATACTAATATATAAACCTTGCCTTCAAACTATTTTATGTGTGTGTGTGTGTTTTCTTATAGCAAAGCCACATCAGGCTATCTGCTGTGTCCACTTAGGGGAATAGAACCCTTGATTTTAGCTTTGTAAATCCAAAGACTTACTGCTGTCCCATCTGGGGACTACTATTTTATAACTATTATTCGATACTTTTTATTACTTATACTACTATTTTATAACTATAATTCGATACTTTTTATTACTTATACTACTATTTTATAACTATAATTCGATACTTTTTATTACTTATACTACTATTTTATAACTATAATTCGATACTTTTTATTACTTATACTACTATTTTATAACTATAATTCGATACTTTTATTACTTATTAATTTCTAATACCAGTCAATTAGCAATTAGTCATTCTATATCATTTACCTTCTAAAAATGTGTTGAAATAATCTATTAAAAACAGGCTAAGTGGCCAGATGTGGAAGGAAAAGAATGCAAATACAAATCCATGGCAAGAGGGGGCACATCCCCCCCCCCGAAAAAACAATTGAAATATACCGACTATATTTTCTTTCTACTCATATCATGCTTCTTCTCTTATTTAAATACAATTCTGTATTCCACTTTTCATGACAGCAAGTCTTGTAGATAGCATACCTGTTTTGTGTGTACTAGCTATTTAACTACATGAGAATTGAATGATATATATATATATATATATACATTCAGTATTCAGAGTGAGCTTCATTTTTATGTCAGCTCTACAGAACTTAACTTTTAAATAAACAACTTTGTATTATTACTGTAATTTACTTTAAAACTTTTTAACAACTTCTCATATACTAATACTCATTCTTTGCTCAGCATATATTACAATTAATAAATGATACCTACAGCTCCTATCAGGTTCTGCTCTTCAAACTTCAACAAATACTCTTTCTCTCTCTGCATAACAACTAATGAGTTTGGGTGTACCTTTAGTTTCTTTTTTCTGAAAGCACTTTTTAATCATTTGGTATGCTAATGTATATATATATCATATATTTTGAATTGTGATTTTTGGAGTTTGTGGGTGTTTCTTAAAAGAAAAAAAGTACCCTTCTAAATAGCATGATGACTGAAGTGTTCATGAATTTCACCCTTCTATAACTAGTATAGAATATACATATATATTCAGATATATTCATGTAATATTTTTCTAAATTTCCATGATGTTTCTGCATTTAGTTCACCACATCTGAATGTCTCAAAATTGTAAACATGTGCTGATTATTTAACACAGGTAAAAACTACATATTGCAACCTATGTTCTTTAGCCTTAAACATGTTTCTTTACAGACTTCTTGGAAGGTAAACTTTTCAAACAAAAAACACAAAAACCTATACAACTGGCTAGGGTTAAGGTTGCATGTAGACTATTGGTTAAAGTATGTAACCTGTGGACTTGCAGGAAATCCAACATTATTTATTGCTCTAGAGTATTTAAGTCAGCTAGTTCAATAGTTCTGTATTTTGATTTCCTCTCTTGCTCTTGAATCTTGTTTTCACGATTTTCAACCCCATCAGCCAGATGGCATGGAAGAAATGCAGTGAGTTTAAGTACCACAACACTGTGTTGGTATAATAAAGAATTTTTGTGTTTCATACCCCCTGTGTTTACTTGTTTTCCTCTATTGTCTATGTTCAATTTATTTTTTGCTTAACAGTCCTAAAGTTTCATTTCAGGGAAACTTTAGGTTTTTCTGCTGAATATCAATAGACTTGAATACTTATGTTTTAAAAGGTTATTTTGAACGTTCTTCTTTTTTTTTTCGGTTGACTCTCTGGTACAGTAATGTTTGTAAATTGTGGTTTCATGGAAAGTAACTTTCTGAAACAACATAAAACTTGTGGTAGAGACAAAGAAGCTGTAATGGTAGTGAAGATTCAGTCTGAGAACATGACAAGATCTAGGAGAGACAGTCTTCTGGACCCATAGCTTTCACCAGCTATGATGAAAGCAATGTCAGCAATCCTGAATGTTTCTAATACAAATTAAAATAATTAGACCCCACATGCAGGAGAAAAGGGCAGTAGAGAAGATTCATGGTTACAGTAAGTGGCCTGAGCTTCCTAAGACTTATTGGGGCATCTCTATGGGACTCCTAAGTGCTCATGGACAAGTCCTGGCATTGCAGAGCATTGTGTAAAGTCATCAAGGGCTGAAGAAAGTGGCGAGATGAGTGTGCCGGATGAAATTCTGTGCATTTCAATGTAACACATTAGGTGGAGAAGATGGAATCTCATGATGATCCAGTGAGAGCAGGAATTAATTAGGAGCCTTCAAAACCAGCAAGGCACACTGACAATACCCAAAAACTGTTTCAGGCAGCTGAGGATACTATTGGATGTGATAATGAAGTGTGGTATCCCATGTTGCACTGTCATTATGGCAACAACAGTGTGCATTACCATGTGTTACATTATCCCATTGTAAATTTAATGCAAGGATGGAGCATTCATCAGGATGTGTATATATATCTCTGGACTTTAAGAAGACAATAAACTCCAAACAAGATTTTGGCAGAGAAGCTGACAGTTGGAGCCTGTAGGCACCAATTAGTGGTGAGGTAAAGCACGTAAAGCAACTAATGTTCAAGGGAACAGCAAAGCAGCATTTAGACAGTTTCTTCAAACATTTCAAACACATTGTTACTTGGAATGGATTGACTCAGGGACAGAAAGTGCAACTTCTGATGGTGAGTTTAGAGGTAAAGCACTCAAAGAATTAGAACATTTGAATGATGCACAACTGGGACACATTTGCTAACAAGTTGCACTGTAGATTTGGCCCTGTGAAGAGTGCAGCAATTTATAGAACTGAGTTCAAAGCTTCAATGTGAAGTCCCTATGAGTATTTGTTCACTTATACAGAAGAGTTAATTACGTAGAAAAGCATTTTCTATTTTGTCTTCTGTAGATTCCAATGTAGTACTAGTAACAAGTTTATTGAGGAGTTACTTGTGCCATATTTGTTTCTCACAGATTGCAGTTTCAGTGCCTATATAGCTCGAGGTGGTCACATCAAGCTACAGAAGAACCATGGACTAGATGTCACACAATATGTATCAAATATATCAATGCGTTAAACCATCGTTTTGGCCAGTAGCACAATATTTGTTCTACCAAATGTTGATAAACTAGACATGACTGGAGAGGCACATTTCCAACTTTGTCTTGGCAACATCATACAATGAGCAAAGGTAGATGTTTCTGATCTGAGTTCAGGAATCAATATGTTAATGATAAACCTACTGCAGAAATTGTCAGCATATTATGTTTGTGAAACAATTGAATTGCAGTTTTGCAACAAAACCATCCAGTACTGGCCAGATTGGGTCTGAGAACAGTAAACTGCATACATTCACATTCAAATGGCTGTTCCCTTTAATGTACAAATGGTATTCTGTGGTATACCATGGGTGCAGTCTATTGCATCTTCTATTGTGGTTATAGAATCAATTCATATTCATACTATTTTGTGTCTGGAAAGAATGTTGCACCAGCTCTAGCAGTGATCTAGTTGGTGTAATGTTAGACACAGTCCATAATTACAAAAATCTGGCTATTCAGATTCCAGCTGTAATGGGCAATGGAATGGTAACAGAGGCACAGGTGATACAGACTAGAGGTACTGCTGGTGTTGCAGCTACTGTACCATGTTCAAGAATCAAAGCACAGCTTCCAGAACACCTGAAGTCTCTATATGAGTATTGTACAAATAAACTGAACATAGAGGCATAAACTGTGTAAATAGTTCAAGAACCTTGCTAATGTTTTTGGTCAATTGGATCAGACAACAGTCCTAGCATGTCTGATAAAACAATCACCATTCAAGTTTCCTTGGAGCACCAGGGATATAGCCAGTGCTGAAACTGAGTATATGTTGAAGGACAGAATAATACAACCATCAGAGAGGGTGTGGTTGTCTCTGGTGTTGATTATCAAAAATAAAGAATGACACCAAGATTCTTTGTGGGTTATTGCAGTGATGCATGTCAAAGGCTTTTCCTATACTGCACACTGACAAATATGTAGATGCATTGGAAGGTCCCCATTAAATCAGTATGCTAGACTTCCGTTCTTGATATTGTTAAGTGGAACTAGATAAGGGAGGGTCCCAAAAACTGCTTTCAGCACTCAAGAAAGGTTATATTTATTTGTGTTATGCCCCCACAACTTTTGAGTATTTGATGGAATTTGAACTGAGAGTACTTCAATGAGAGAGATGTTTCTTCTATGTGAATGATATACTTATTTTCTGCCACGTTTCAAGCTGCAACTGAAATCATGAGAAAGTTATTCCAATGCCTCAAGGATGCAGCTTGAAATTGAATCTAGGAAAGTGCAACTGAGTCAGTCTTAAAACTTATAATAGTGTATTTGCCTTTAGATTGATATAAAAATCCAAAATAGGTTCTGGACCACATTGTTGCTTTTTGAACATGGATGTATCACATTTCCTTGCACATTTTATGCCGCCAATCTAAAAAAACATAGTTAATATACATATTAACTAAAGGAAGGAAAAGTAAAGTGATAAATAACACAAATGCTAACTTCTTAAATTATTACAACCAAACAACTCTTCATTGTGAAATTTACAGTTTTTCACAACACTTTTCAAGTGTCTAACAATTATAAAGGTAAAACTATGATTAAAAGACAACATTAACTGTTTGGAGATCATCTGTTTACTTGTTTGTTGTGAAGCATAAAGCTGCACAATGGGTTATCTGTGCTCTGCCAACCACAGGTATTGGAATCCAATTTTTAGCATTACCAGCCCTCAAACTTACCACCGAGCCAGTCAGGGGGTTTTATTATAAAGAACAACTAAATATAGTAATTTGCACTAATATGCAACAAACAGATGTTAAAAAATGTTTTATCACAAAACATTGGTATGACGATTTGTATTATATAAACCTAAATATTTGCTACTGTTAACAAAAAGTTGTTTATATTAATGAGTCAAAAACCGAATCCATAATGATATTACCACCAATCTGTTTGTTGTATGTTTCGTACTTAGATACAGAGAAAAAATAAAAGTTTACCATTGAATGTTGTTATGGGCTCCCCAGTTGCTCAGTGATAAATCTTCAGACTTTTTGTGTTAAAAACTGGGTTTTGATACCTGTAACGGGCACAGCACAGATAGCCCATTGTGTAGACTTATGCTTAACTACAACAATGTTGTTAATTTTCTGTTCAGAGACAAAAAAGAGAACAATGTAATCATGTTGATGCAAAAGAAAAAATTATATGTAGCTAGTTAGTATTACACTAAATACAAATAAAACTCAAGAAGTGAAGTTTCAATTCACTATATTACATATAGCTATAAGACATTTTCAAAATAAGCATGATAAGTAGATGACAACATGTTTTATCCACAAAACCTAGAAAACTGAGAAGTCAATAAAAAATGATGTTTAGAAAAAAGCAAACAAACTGCAATTCAAATATGCAGGGTTAGTGGTGGAGAGTTAGACGTCTGGACTCTAGGAATATGTTAGCCTTTTCCTTTTCCCAAATTATACAGTTAACTGACCTTCATGATGGTTATCTGTGACAAGCCCAAATGTCCACTCTCAAGGCTAGAGATGGAACGTTTTACTCCCTGAAAATTGTCATAATGATGAGAAAATGTAAAATAATAATAATGCAAAATTAAACTAATGTCAGTTAATCCCTTTTAAAATGCAAGGAATCTAAAAGGAAAGCTCATTTTTCTTTGCAAAATATTCACATACTTAGCAAATTTGTTTCTAAGGAAGTGTAAAACTTTCCTGAAGATCAAAAGACTTCATATACTAGAAATAGCTATATTTCAGCAAAAAAAAACACATAAACTCTATAACTCTATGTTTATGATTAATGTAAAAGAACGAAACTCTTCATATTTTGTCCTTGCATTCTTTGGGTTTGAAGAAGCTTGAAAATTTTACACCTCAAACTAATCCATAGAAGATAAAAACTGTTGAAAACCCTTGTTTATAAAAAAACAAATTAAATGTATAGCTTATATCATTCTCATTAGAAAACATACAGATTATAAACATAACTGTAACTTACTGTTGTTACTTGTACATCAAATCCACTATCTCCCTGAAATAATAAAACGAGTAAAGACAATAAATTTCACAAGCATTCTTCTTAATCCTTAAAAAAAAGAGCCATTAAAATTCAATAGTTAATTGAATAAAATGGTTGTAGTTTTATCTTATATAAAATAATAGCTAATAATATCTTCCTTGCACTGGAACTGTATTTTACTTGAGTAATATGGATCTACTTTACATAAACACTGTTTTAGTCACGTTATTTGTTTTACCGTCTACAATGTATTAAAACGTTGTGAGTAAATTTCATAAAACGGTAGAGTTTAATAATTCTACATGAAATACATCTTATTTAATCTGAGTAAAGCAAGTATATTGTAAGCAAAGTTTCATAAATAAATCAATATTGTGTTAAATAAAATTATTTTACCTTATTTCCTTTTTCACCTTTTTCCCCCTAAAAGAAAAGAGAAAAACTAAAATATCATAGTAAAAGATAAACACAAATATTTGTGGCAGAAGCATCACTAGGCATTGACACTCAGGGCTTGTACTCCAAATCCCCAGTTGGTGTCTTGAAAAAGCAGAATAGAAAACCATGATCGATATCATACTGAAATGCTAAAAGTGCCTTTGCCTATGGGCCCAAGCCCCAAATCTTTTAAGTACCTAGCAATGCCTCTGATGTGTGGTATGCACTGTTAATTTGTAACTGACAGATTAGATTCAAATATTTTTAATCAGTACTCATGCTTCTATTTGTGCATAAGATAAGAACAAAACAGCACAAAATATACAAAAATTCATATTATAATAAAAAATAAGCATTTTCACAGAGAATGAGTTAATTAGATTCCAAATACTTGCAGTGTGAAAAGAGTGAAAATATTAGTTAGAATTGCAAAATTTATGACATATCTCGGCCTATTTTTTTTTTTTTTTCTGATAGTGAAATGGAAACAATACATGCCACTTTCTGTTCTTATAATTAAATACACATGGAAATAATTAAATTCTACTTCACATAAAATATTACAAGAACAAAGCACGATATAAAATAAAACCATTACTAAATATGTATAATTTCTTTACTTGAAATAAAATCCCTGAAATATATAAATCAAATTAACTTTTACTTCATGATTGTAAAAAAAGAAAAACCCTTTACAAATACATTGTGTAGTACAAGATGTCTAAATGTGTTCAGTGACTAACCTTTTCTCCATTCAGACCAGGGAATCCAGGAAGCCCCATTGGGCCCTTTTCAAAACGTGCATTACAAAAAACAAAAAATGATGTTCACTGATCATGCAAGCATGCAACACCATAGTGAAACATGCACTAAGATCATCAGATATACAGCATCAATGAAAATATATAGAACTCATAGGATTGGTAGGTAAAAACAATCAAACAAATAATCTACAGAAAATGAAATATTTCCAAATGTATGCCAAATATATAATCTGAACTGTTATACAGGAATAATACACAATTTATATTTTATTTCCAGTATATATATATAAAAAATAAATAAACTAGAGATATATGCATGCTATTGCAATCTATCAATAAGCCCAACATTACTATAACAAGAGTTACATGTAAACAATTTACTAGGGTTTTGCTATTCAAATATGCCTAATTTTGAATTATATATCAATCATATAGGCTTATATTAAACTTTTGAAGCATATATTTTTTTAGAAAGCACATGCATGTTTCACATGAACAAATCTGTATTAAATTCAGTAATACTACAAAAATACTGTGTTTCCCCAAAAGGAAATGGTTTCAGTCAGCATGCAGTATCAAAATTATTTTGCTGAGCAAATACCTTTTCTTATTGTAGTGCACCCTTAAAAGTGCATATGCATAATATTATGACTTAATTTCAAGACAAACTTAGAAACATTATAGATATAAGAAATATTATGAGAGCTCCACATCTAACAGTTAACTACATTTGAAATGCTTTATACTTACTGGGACTTAAATTAAGAATTCTACTACCTGAATAACAATGTACCATATGTAACTGAGGTATCTACAAGTTAAACTATGATAATGTGATCTAAGTACTCCACTTTCAATTCTTACCGGAGCACCCTTTGGCCCATCAATTCCAATTGCACCCTGTATAATAAAAAAAGAGACAAACATTAAATATTTGTATAAAAAGTGATATACTCCTCACAACTGGCGATACAACAGAAAAATAAGAAAAAATATTAATATAAGTGCTCAAATAACAGTGAGATTTTGTACTTGTATAATTGTACTTCCATTTTAAACTTACAGTCAAATACCAGAAACCAATAGTCTATACCATGTTTATCTGAGAGTAATATTTAAACATGTATTCATGTTTTCATGGTCGTTAGAAAAAAATGAATATGTTTAAAATTTCTTTAAACTCTGTAAGATCGAATATTTTTGAGGTAATCATAAAATACTTAAAATGTAAAAACATTTTTATTTCCTGTAGATCACAAAGTAAATTCTGATTAATTATAAACACTGATCTTTAAATGTTTTCTAACAGATGCTTGAATAATGTAGAGGAAGTCAGCATATCTGTATCTGTGGTTTTGAAATAAGTTATATTATTTTGATATAATTTCATTACCCATTTTGTACAGATCCTACACATATAACTACTTGAAATGTTTCTAGTGTTGTTAGTGAGTAAATCTACTTCTGTCAGTATTTGGCATAGCTAAATTTTGCAGGACTTTATCTGCAAATTAATTATTAGAAGGCTTTACTAGTTTAAAGACGATTTAATTAAGTAAAGAAACGTGAATCCAGTTACCAAAAATATTTTTATTTTCTTGATGTAGAAATGTGCCTCTTAATTTCTTAACTAAAAATATATTTACATTTAAACCTTTCTATAAAAATACTGTTGCTCCAATTTCCTCCATGGCTATGGCCTTAGACATACACATACTTTATATATACGTGTGTGTGTGTTTGTGTTTATTTTTTAAAAACAAATAATTCTTACAATTCAAATAGAGAAACATCACCATGTGGTATACTTCTCCCCTGCTTGTGGCAATACTTTAATTATTGGACTGTTTAATTCACTGGTATAACGATATTTTATACAATACTCTGTAGTTTGAATGAAATTTTGATGAGCACGTTGATGGAAGGATAACATACCATTATCATTGTTTATAACACAAAATTATACCTAAGACGATTGTGATATATATGTCGAGGAGCGTTAAGAGAACCACGAGATCAGACTGCTTCATACGTTAAAACTGCACACCTAATAAATTTAACCCCTGTTTTTATGTTATACTTAAAAAAATACTAATCATATTCTTTAGATTAATTGGAAATGCTTTTATTGTGCACACAGATATTATTGACAGTTACTTTAGTACTAGTAGTCAATATACTTCGATTCTAATTCAAAAGTTAAACCATTACACTCAGTTAAAAAGTTTTATTACATCTGATATTGTGTGAACAGAATACAAGTCATTAAAAGTTTCTTCCTCAGAGTAATATGTTACCACATTCACAGCCATCTATAGGTTAACGGTGAATCTTGGTTCAATCGCTACTAACAACTATGTGAAATCTAATCAAAAACACCATAGGTGTGAAAAAAAGGTGCAGCCAAAAAAGGATCGAGCGTGCGACTAAAAGGTATGAAATCAAAATTGACGGCCAAACTGGTAATTACACTTATAGCATCGATAAGAATTTTACAGCAAATATTCATTCTGTTACGCCTCCAGTCGTTAGTTAATTTTCCGTAAATTCGTTCCGACGAAACTTTAGCGACACAAGTCCTTTCTTAAATAAAACTGGTTTATTCTTTCCGAATACAACTTTACGATAAACTTAATTTCAACAGTCGCTCTATAACAAACACTATAATTCACGTCTCACGTGGCCAACAATATTTTGTCCGCATACATTCAATTACTCATTCACTTGTTGCGTCACGTTGTGAGCGTCTTATATATATACCACACTACCCCCAATCTAGTAGTCTCCCAATAATTCATGAAGGTTCGAGAAGGAGTGGCGTGATACCAGTCACGTGACCTCGCTGACACAACACTGCCCCATCCTTAGTATTGTTCGTCCCGAACAATACCCACTTACATTAAACCAATAACAATAACTTAATTAAATGTACAGAATTACAACCATAAAATTACAATTCAACAAAGTCTCTTGATTTTACGGGATGTATCTTCTTCCGTACTGGTCTCAGTCTCGTTGGCTTCTGCTTCACGTGGGGTTCATCTGCTTCATCAGGAAATGTCCTATCGTCAGTAACAGTCACATCAGTGGTAGTAACTTCATCAAGAGCTT